TATATATATATATATATATACGAGTAGGTTTATGAATACGAAACGCAAAGAGTGCTCAATATCATAAAGATAGAGCAAATGTAGAATTTCGCTTACCTATATATATAGATGTCACTCTGTATATATATATATATATATATATATATATATATATATATATATATATATATATATATATATATATATATATATATATATATATATATATATATATATATATATATATAATAGCCTACATTTGGCGTTCTCGAAGAAAATGGACTTTCGCGTTCTTGGTCAGTAAATAAAATCTAACCTGTCTTGGATGCATGCTTATATATCAAGTCTCGCAAAATTCAATTAATTAACATTCACGGTCAAATACAATTAATTAGTTCATTTCATTTGTTCATCTTACAAGATCTTTTCTGTATATTGATCTTTCTTCAGATAGGTAAGGCTTATATAATTTTCAAAATCATGAGTACGTATCATGTATACGTTGCTTATATATTTGTCTGTCTTACAATAATTTGTTCATATCAACGTTTACAATAGGTCACTCAAGGAACTACAGTGTCCATAGTTTCTTGGCTTTGAAACATGCAGTCAGAACACCGCTGGAATTGTTTTGGTTAAAGCATCCCAGCATGACCTTGCAGTGGTTACTTGATCTACTGGACAATACTGATGTTAGTTCTGAAACTTCCCAGGACACTGCTTACGACGATATGAGAAATGTCGACAAACTATTTGAAAAAGGACCTGTGAACACTTATCGTGAAGGTTGTATATTGGCGGAAATTGTTTTCAATGAATTTTACACTTGGATCGAAAAAAACAATAGTCATGGCATAATTGATGCGATTCCTGAACTTCTTGATCAACTAGGAAAATTTGTTAAAACTCAAATAATGAACTATAATATCACCTTACAACAGGATTCGGTTTATTATAACCTATATATAACAGTATTTGGCTTGGCTATGATGAAAGTCCTGATCCAAATAGCGAAACTCAATGACATGAACAATGGATGCGAAAAAGACAGAGAGGCTTGTGTGATTTTCACGGACAGTCTTCAGTGGGTGAAAGAATTACGAAAGTTGGACAACAAACAATGTTTTTACCATTTTAAACTCGAAGAAATGACCAAATTTGTTTTAGGTGAAACTATGACAATATGAGTTGTAACTGTTTGTTAATTGGTACACCTTACTCTTGCCACTGTGGTCACCGTTCAATTCTTGTAATGCTAATATGCAGTTCTATAGTCCATACATGTGGGAATGAGTGTTTCCAGTTAGTTTTAATAAAGTATACTCCGGCATCCTCCTATAATAGAACGACTGGACCAATGATGGGATGGCCTTCGTTCAACCTTCAGGGGGGGGGGGGGATTTAGATACGGTGGAAGAAGAAAAATTGAATGGATTGTACCATAATTAACAGGCTGTGATTTAGTAAATATTCATTTTCATCTTGGATATTCATTTTCTTTAATAGCTTGCAAGAAAAGATCTTAGAAAATCTGATATTTTTTCAAATGTTTTATATATGCATGAATGAGTTTCATAAAGAGGTTCGATCAGAAATTTACCATATACTAGTAAACACTCTATCCCAGATCATATAAATAGGCCCTTAACAGATCTGAAACTATAATTAAGGGACCGTTCTTTATCAGGGGGATTTGCAGGGGGGGGGGGCCACCAGAAAAAATAGCGATGTGAGAGGGGGGTCACATCAGGAAAATTAAATTTTGAGGGGGTCTCCAAAACGTCAATGAATACATAATATATCAAAATCAAAACAATAAACTTTCGCACTTTTTCATTTATAAAAATATATTATTTATTTTTTATATATTATTTATTTTTTAAAGCCGTAATCGCCGCCCTGAATGAGCTGTTGTTTACAAATCCTCATTGAGTTTTCTCATTCTACGATGTCATTGTCTGTATAAAACTGTAGGGAAAGCAATAGAGATCTTAGTAAAATATATTTCTTAAAATTGCTGAAATTTTACATTCTCCCTCCTTATTTGCCAATATTTTTGCGAGTATATACACGCGTCACTTGTTTACATCCACCAAATGTCGGAACTTAAGCATTCGAAAGCTTAAATCGTTAAGCCCCCGGCGAAAAAGGGCGAGGCAGGGGCTTAACTCGAAAAGGGCTGAACTCGAAAAATACCTACCCCCTTTTTTCACGGGGCTTAACTCGAACTTTCCAAGTTGTGTTTCTTTCTTCTGTTAGGTATACTTACGGAATATTCAATTTCATATTTTAGCCGGTTTGTCGCGATTAGTTGTTGAGAAAATTTGATAAAAAGTTCAACAGTTGTCCGCCATTTTGAAAATAAGCGCGTATGCTAATTTATGCCACAAAATACATTATCTGACGTCATTGGCTGGGTAAACATTACCACGCATAGTGCATTTTGAGCCAAGTATGTAACTTGTTTGTAACACTATTTCTCATAGTATATATCCTACTCCGTGTTAAATAAACACAGAATTCGAGTGTAACAAGGCAAATACTAATGCAATATTTTATGATCAATTACATGTATTGTAAATTGCCCCATTCCTTGCTTTCCCAGTCGCTCGATATGTTTTTATCTGATAGTGTAGACTTCTCTTGTTTGATTGCGAAGAGTGTTGGCCAGTATATGGCTCAAAACGACATATTTTCCCCGAGCGGACGGCGCGAAGCGCCGTGCGAGGGTACTAATTTCCCCCGGCTGTTTACACCCGGGGAAACGAAAGCATTAGCGAAGTCTAAAGTTCATCAAATATCGCGGGCGTGGGTCACCAACCGTCGGCAGTGAACTGTAATAACACTGGAACGCTAACTACAGATAAACATGCCCATACTTGCCTGAAGCCAAGATGGCGCTTCTCGCGAGGCTCGGCGAGCAAAAAATTAAGTTTCTGAGGACTGGGGAGAGTTTCGAGGAGCGGGAAATTCAGTCAAAAGTTTGTTTTTGAGCGAAAATCAGCAAGAAAAAGCACTTTTTTATCAAAAGGCTTCAACTTTAAAGATTCAAACCTGGTTTCCTGGATAGTTCTAAGTATTTTACATCCACTAACAGCAAAAACGTCCAGGGTAACAGCTTGATATTCAAAATATTACACAAGTTTGAACGTGCCGGAAAAAACTTCGCACTTTGACTCTTGAAAAAATAACTTTAAAACTGGTCTACGTTCTGGAAACATGTTTTGTATTAAATTTCAGGTATTGTTGAAAATTCCTAGCTTTTTTCCTTGTTGAAATACAGCTATTTAGTAGTCAAAAACAGACATCTTTTCGGTGGCGTATTTTCCACTCCATACGTACATGGCGGCCTTCAATCTTCATGAGTGGCTTCAAAGATGGCGGCCAAGTTATCGTTCCAGTTCCCTTAGAGTTCACTGACCGTGGGTGGTCATCCTCACTGATCTCAAAAGTATGGCGGACTGTCGTGAATAGCAAACACTGATTGGTCCAATTCAAAGTTTGCATTATAACGACTGCATGACGACATCGAAATAGCAAACATTTCTTTATTTGATGATTGATAAATTTCTTGCAAATATATTTCATTTTTGCTCGCATTTGCCTAACATTTATATGTAATTGGGAGATTGATAATTTTGTAATTAAAAGTGATATTTTTAAGCGATTTTTCATTTGTATTATTAAGAATATTCTTAAAAAATTATTGTGTTACCATGGCAACTACTTCAGATACTTCATGCAAGGGAGCACAGCAGTATTGTTTTTGAGACTTTCGTACCTGTATATGGCTGTAAAATCTGTGAATAGGTAGTCTTTGTCTTCTTTGGTTTGCTAATTTGCATATAAACACTGCATTTAAATACTTTTAAATACCATAACTTTCGCCATAACCTCGGCCAAAACTTTCGTACTATTTTCGCCCTTCCACGCGCCTTCTTTGCAGGCTATTTTCACATGGTCTTCCGCTGACATATTGTATCGCATGTAACGGTTTTGTAAATACGCGCGAAATTTAAAATAAGAAATAGAGGGGAGTGAAACTGTGGGCACATCCGGTAAAATCTTTCGACAGACGCTGTAGCAAATTGCTAGGCACAGTAACCGTTGCTAGGCACAGCCGCACAGGCCACTGCTAGATATAATTATGGAATTATGCAATCTTCGCTTCAGTTCACATGTTTTTAACGTGAGTTGATCCATAGTTAATCCAAACTGTGGTTGATCGTATAGTATGCCATATATTTGTCTTTTTTAAATCATATTTCAGTGCATTAATATACTAAAAAATGGGGTCAAATTTCGACATGATTTTGTTATATTTTGTGTTACTTTATAACATTAAAGCCATTTTCAAATATTCTAATGTGAAATTATCCAAGTAAAACCAGCATACAATACACTAAAACCGGAATATTTGTGTTTAATATAACTAATATACGTTTATACAGAAAAATCACAATTCACAACTAACAACATTAAGGCCAATGAAAATTGATATCATGTTTCTCGTCCCCGCCCGCATGGGATTTATCTGCCGCACGAAAATTTTTCATTATTCATTATTTTTGAAAAATAGGCTTAACAAAACACCAAATTGATCTCCAGATCAAAGACTTATTGCTGCATTCCGCAAGCGCAACTCAAATTGTATCTTTCTAAAGATATTACTCGCCAGAATGCCTCTATTTTTCATATCAGCCCTGGTATGTATAGAAATATACTGTAGTGTAGGACGTATTAAATTAAAATGAATTATACACCGATTTACTTCAGATTTTTATGGGGGTTTTTACTGGTTCAAGGAAATTATTGACAAGCAATTCAAATACAAAAAATAATGAAAAATGAAAAATGAAAAAATCCCGCTCCAAATTTTTGAAAATTGTGGACGAGAAACATGATATCAATTTTCATTGGCCTAATATAAATAATGACAAAATTTATATTATTACCACTCTCGAACATGCTATGGGCAATACTCTCGAAGTAGAAACATGATATAATACATTTAAAAAGGAATCAGAGTTGAAACGTTTACGAAATGTGAACAAATCAGTTTTTGGTAGACTTTTACAGTCGACTCTGATCTGATTGTAAGCGTTTGGTTTTGCTACAAACCTTGGAGAAAGCGGTTCTCAAATCCCGAAATGCTATTGGTTAATATTGATCACGTGCCCACAGTTTCACTCCCCTCTATTTCTTATTAGGGAGCTTAAGATCTACAACGCGAATTTGTGACGCGGACGTGCTTACCTAAGCATAGTTTTCGAGTATAAGCCTAGTCAGAGTGGTCACAGTTTATTTCTGCGAGATTTGTGACACTGTTATGACACGTTAACAGCCATACGAAATGATAGAAACCAGGCTTTATAGACTATTGTTACGAATGCACATTTTCCCGCCAAAACTACCATCCGAGACGACGTGATATTTGCAAAGATTCGTCGTCATAGAAGTCGTAAAAACTTATGATAAAAAATATCTTCTTAATATATTGCTAGCCTCTGTTATGTTGTACATTTTTTCCAGTATAATTTCATTTTATTTACTGTGATAAAAATATTTTAATGGTATTTGCCATTGTTTTAAAATAAAACTTGTTTAATGCGACGTCCGCGTCGTAAGTTCGCGTTGTTGATCTTAAGCTCGCTAATGTAAGTTTCGCGCGTATTTACAAAACCGTTACAGCGATACAATGTACAGCGGACGACCATGTAAAAATACACGGCGACAATATTTATACGAAAATATAACGAAATTGTTGGCTTGTTTACGAATTTAAAGACAGTGTTTTAGTGTTTATATGCAAATTAGCAAACCAAACAAGACAAAGACTACCTATTCACAGATTTTACAGCCATATACAGGTACGAAAGTCTCGAAAACAATACTGCTGTGCTCCCTTGCTTCATGTTCGGAAAATACAATGGTTTTGTCAGCAAGGCGAGGGTGTCTGCATGCATGTATTTTCTAGTTAGCTAACATAACACGCACGCAATAGAATTCTCTCCTGCAGTTTTGGTGCTACCCATCCAATGACGTCACAAAGTTCATCAACCTTCAAGATAATTTTTCAAAAAAAATTTCCAAGATAGCGGCGAAACACAAAGTTTGCATGCATTTTACTCGTCGACTAAAATGTTCGAGATGGAAATGATAATATTTTCATAGTTTGGTCGTCAGGATTGAAATAGCCAATAAAAATTTTCGTTGCCATTGTCCTTTAAGTCTTTAACGAAAATGGGTGTGGTTTGGGCGTGGTCGAGGCTTAACTCCAAAAGGGCTTAACTCGAAGATTACCTACCTAGTTTGAGATATAATTTTCAGGTTGTTCAGACAAACACCGACAGCTTATTGTAAAATAGTGTTTATTTGCACATTTGCAAACATCTGCGATCCTCGGGAAGGAACGTGAGTCTCTGGGATAATCCTTTCATGGATGAATTTGATTGGCCGTTGATATGGAATGCGTAGTTCGATCTTAACCAGGATTCCTGGCTTCCGGCAACGGATTATCCCAGAGCCTCACGTTCCTTCCCAAGGATCGCAGGCTCCGGGAACGAGATTGTCAGTAATATAGTAAAGCTCAGTTAAAGAAAATTAAAACAGAATGCTACAATGCTGTTATTTTATGTGATAACAATGAGTACACTGTTTATCTTTGAGAGTAAGACAAGCCTACTACTCGATAACTGATTCGATTTGAACATAGGTGTACCGGTGCAGATGACATTTTCCCAACTAAGCCTGAAAATGCCCGACCTTTGATTCCTCCCCAGCACATGCACACACAGAGGTAAAACACATACGTGTTTAAGTCTTCGAATTAATGTAATTGTGATTATTGCGTTAACTGTGTAATCGCAGCATTACAGAGCGTTTGCACAAACGTCACAGCCGCCATGTTGGTGTTCAAAAGAATTTTAATTAGGGACGGACCATTATATATCTGAGGGGGTGGTTGGGCAATTGTTTTGTGCACGAATTTTTTTTCATCCCCCAAATGCTTGCAAGAATTTTTTATGACCAAAAAATTTTTCCCGGAAAGTTGGGCGGGGGGGGGAGAATATAAATTTTTCGATTGTCGTAAAACACTAATTTAATGTTTTAAAACAATTGCATTACGAGTTTTTGCTCAATTTTTTTTTTCAATAGGTTTGTTGTGCACGATATTTTTTTCTCAAATATCTAATGGTCCGTCCCTTAGACTCTTTTGTCTGGAACACCAACATGGCCGCCATGGCTTTTGTTGAGTTGATCCTTGGGGAATGAGTGCAAACTCTCTATTTACTAGTACCTAATACTCATGGGCGTACCGGAAGGAAAAAATTAGGGGGGCGGAAAGAAAATTGCCCGACTTTTCGGGATTTTGCCCGACTAGTACCAAAAAATTTTTTCCGGAAAAATTTTTTTGGCGACCTCCCCCCCCCCCACGTCGCCAAAAAAATTTCGGTCAGTGTACCATTTTAGGGGTCAAAAAAATTTTCCGGACAATCAATATTTTTCGGAACATACACAAAATTTTCGAAAAATCACAAAATTTGCCAAAAATTGACTTAATTTTATACAAAATTTACAGAATTTGTCACATTTTTTTTTATTGCAAGCCAAAATTGCCCGACTGTTGATCGAAGATTGCCCGACTGCCCAAAAAACTGGGGGGGGCTGCCGCCCCCCCCGCCCGGTACGCCTATGCTAATACTAGTTTTTCAATGTTCTGTAACTTGGGAGTGGGGCAACTTCCACGCGGCGCCAACTTGGTTGGCACCAAGCGGAATAGTTTTTTAAGGTTGGATCGAGTTTTCCCAATTTACTTCCACGAGTGTTGATATAATTATATATCAATACGGAAAAAATGTTTTATAATATAGCACAAAGAAATATAAAGAAAGAAATTTTCATTGAGTTATATCAACACGGCTCTTAGCCAATCAGCGTTCAGAATTTACAAATGTTATATTATAATATTATAATATTATATATTCTTAGATCCTTTTAGAGACAGTTAGTGTATAGTATTTTAATATTTTCTGAACTTGTAAATATAAGCGTTATTCAGTCTATTGGTTGCAATGTTTTTATGAAATAAACTATCTATATCTACAGGTTGTATCAGAAAAAAAGTGGACAATCTTGAAACGGCTCTCGATTTCACAAATCTGTTCGTGTCATGACATTTTTGATAAATATAGATTGTTTGATTGATTTATATTTATATACATATAAATATTGATTGATTTATACTTATAATGTTGAATAAACAAAGCAATTTCGTAAAGATAAATTTTCCAGAGCAGGGGGTGTCTTTTTTAGCAGCATTAAAAATAGCTTGCGCGCAAAATTTAAAAAGTTGAAACACATTTTGAGTTCATGGGCGAAAAAATTGTTATGTGTTTTATTAGTGGTCCATAATGTTTTTACAATCGCAAAATGCAAATTAGGTAAAAGCATGAATTAAGCATGCTTGAAAGGCATTGGTACCAAAAATTGAAAGTTTCAGCAGCTATTTGAAGGACTTAAAACTGAGCAAATTTTCTGATATTTGGACCATTGAACTAAAAATGCGTTTTAACTTTTGAATTTCGCGCGCAAAAACTATTAAACTTGTGAATTTCGCCCTGTATAACTAAACTATTGCCATTTCAGAAATTCTACACATTTGGTGAATTTCGATTCCTAAAGGCCCCTTTTAGATTCGCAAATTTTTGCTGCGATTTTAAGTGCGATTTTCTTCTTCTGATGGATGTGAACGAGTGGATATGAATGTTGAGATGAGGGTACATATACTCAGAACATTCATAACTCATCTACTCATTCACATCCATCAGAAAACCACAGAATCTAATCTTGAAGTGTCTGTGTCAGTGTAGGTAGTGGCAATAATATGAACAAGCTTTCGTTGGTAGGGATGTAACTACCTGAAAAATATAAGGAGAATTTTGACGTTTCGAGCGAAGGTCCTTGGTCTGGAGTTACTAGCCAAACTCCCGACGTAGCGCCTTCGCTCGAAACGTCGAAATTCTCCTTATATTTTTCAGGTAGTTGCATCCCTATCATGAACGAAAGCTTGTTTACAGAATCTAATCCCTCTTTAATAACCAATGAGGTCAATTCCACGTTTTTAATTCATTCAGATACAATTTAATTCTCAGATGGTAGTTTTTATAATACTTCTAAACGCTTTTCTGCTATTCTGGTAACATTCCTAGCTGATATGACCACGAATTCTACGCAATGAATCAATTATTGAGCCTTCACTCAAAACGTCGAAATTCTCCTTGTATTTTTCAGATGGTTGTATCCCTATCAACCCAAGTTTTGTTATTATTTATGCTATCTACACTGGCAAATACCCTTCAAAATAATATATGCATCCTTGCACGTCCCTAACATACTTACTTTGTGAAATGAATAAATGTTAAATGGAGCAATGGTATCGTTTTTTATGAATCTAGAACTATGAATTGAATTTTTGGTGGCTGTTTTTGCATTATTAATATGGCATTGCTTCTGCATAGTTTTCCTTGGTTGTGTGGAGCGTATGGGCTGGTTGGTCGAAACAAAAAGATCCCTCGTCCACATTTGTACCTCACAGTTAAAAGAGGAGTGAAGAGATCGTTTGTACGACGTGAACTTGAAGAGAAATTCAAATGTGACGACGCTAAGGAACACTTTGAACTCCTTCGAGAACCTGAAAGAAAACTAAAAATTAAATATTTGGGTTTTCGTTTAAGTAAATTGAGATGTAAATCATCTTCTGTCTCACCAGCACCTGGTGGTGGTGTATTAGCTTGCAGTAACCCCAGTTATACCAATAAAAACCCTTTACGAGTACCTGAAGAAAACGAGAAAGTTGATGTACCTCAGGTCCAGGGAACTGGGACTTTAACCGTGTTTTGTGCCCTCAATAGACAACGTTATGCACTCACCTGCTTTCATGTTGGTTGTGCAACTGATGAAAACCGTTTAAACGCCGCATTCAATAAAGTAGAAGATTTTCAGAAGATGCACAATTCACTTCCAGCTTATGAAAGTTATGCAAAGAAACAGCAATATTATTTTACACAAGGCAATACAGAGAACGACAATGTCCACATCTTATTTGGAGACGATGGAACGGACTGCTCGCGTCTTGGTGGCCCGTTTGACAATTATTATTTTGACAACGAATGTGACATTTTGTCTCTAAAAGTTTTGGATGGCGTTAAAATTGATTGCACAATAGCGGATGCAACTTCACCTGATTGGGATAGTATATGGGATGAATTGTATGAGAGTGATAGTAATCCAGTGGAAGTGGAGAAAACCGGTTTTTCGTCGGCGTTAACCCGTGGCTGTATTGTTCCTTGTGATTTTAGTTACAGCCAAGAACAGGAGCCATTATTCCAGGATGCATTCGCCGTTAAGGGATGTAGTGGTCCATTCTTGGAAGGCGGTGACTCAGGTTCTCTCGTTTTCTTTCATGACAAGAATAACCAGAAACAGGTGTTTGCCTATGGGGTTTGCGAAGTGGATGAGCTTCTCTTACCTGAACCGCACGAGTCAGCGAGTTCTTGCAGTTTTGATGAAGACGAGCCTGACTAGTCTGAGTCTGAATAGGAAATCGAGGATGAGAATGAAACTACATCTGAGAGTTCTGAGGCTGAATGCAAGGGTGAAAGTGAATGTAAAGATGAATGGCAAAATAAAGATAAATTGGAATGTGAAAAAAAATAGGTTGCTTTTCAGGAAGAAAGTGAGAGCGACATTTCGGAGGAAATGGAGAGAGAAGAAATTCCAAGAAGTGGAAGCGTCAGGGCCATACTTCATCTATCTTAGATTAGATACGGCTTTAGAAAACCTAGGACTTGAGAAAGCAGCTTGTTTTCACAATTGTGGCCGTAACTGAAAATTATGTGGATCATCTTCCAGATGTTCATGTATATGCGGACGATTCTGAATTTTACCTTTTATTCAAGCCAGATGGCGAAGTGAGTTAGGCCGCGGCATTGGATGCGATGGAACGCTGTGTGAATGAGTAAGTGAACTTTATTTAACCACGGTGAACTCATCAGGATTTTACACGCCAATTATAGAATAGAATAAAACTTACATATTACACATTTTATATACATATCCATTTATAAAAATACCTGTTTTCCATGAGTGCCGTGCAAGTACTAATATAAAGATAAAAATTTGAAAATTATCGTTCGAAGTTGCTGCAGTCAGACTTGAATTTACGTAAAGTGTTAGCTTGTCGTATCTCGGCTGGAAGGGTGTTCCACAGTACCGCACCACTGCAGCTAAAACTATTTTTCAATGCGTGGTTGAGATAAAGCTAATGTGCCTCCGGTGTCTCCAGAGCGGTGTCTCTCAATGACAATGTATAATTTGTAGAGGTAATCACACGGGAAGGAGTGCAATTAATAGCGAGCTTAAGCAAACGACGTTGTTGTCAACATGGTCATGGACGTCAGATTGCCGAGGGGGGACTGGACTAAAAACTGTGTTTGTATCAGTTTGTAGTATCTTCATCACATGTAACAAAACATAAGATTTTAGTTTAAGTTTTTTGCTTCCTTACACGAACGTTATGATGCAAAATACCGTCAAAATTAGTCATACCGATTTTCAGATGACGTTCGTGTTGAGAAAAACGTCGGTTGCTTAAAGGCACAGTTCAGCCTTTTGAACGATGGTTTTTAAGGCGCATTTCAGCCCTTTTAATTGAAAAAACTAACTAGGAAAATCAATTAAGTATAATTCAAAATCAGTAAACTCGATGTTTTTACCAATAAAAATGTTTTAAAATGTTAAAAACATTGAGTTTGGTGATCTTGAATTATGCTTAATTGATTTTCCTAGTTAGTTTTTTCAATTAAAAGAGCTGAAATGCGCCTTAAAAACCATCGTTCAACAGGCTGAACTGTGCCTTTAAGCACCCTAATGATTAACACCACGAGTGATATTTGAAAAATGTGCCAAAATTGCACGAGTCGCCGCGGCGAGTCAGATCCTTATTCTGTGACATCGTCCATTTTGAGACGGACTGTCGCTTGTTTTATATAGGCTTGCACCACTTACCTTACGTGTAAGTATCTGCGTGTGAGTAACCAAATGAAAGAGCATATAATTTATACAATATATGAGAGTTTAGGAAAATCCTATAGAATAGCGGTCGCGAAATTTATATATTTAAAAACAATTCTTGATAGTTATTTTAGTATAGGCTATATTTGGCACCGGATGTAATTGTTAGGAAATTGTCTTTTCGTACTGCTTTGAGGCGCGTTTGTTGGTTTGTGTGCAATAAAACTTTAAGGTATTAATTAGTTAATAAGAACTGTATGACTACTTTTTTCTAATTTATTGGAAGAGAAGCAGGGCATTTTTTAACTATATAATTTCAATATAACTACTGGGGCATTTACCCCAGTAGGCCCTTTGCTTGCCCCAGTAGTGAAGCAAGATTTTCAGATGAACTGGGCCCTTTTGAAAAAGCTGCATCTGCCTGCTTTCTCATATCTTCTCACATTCTCGACATTCCATCTTATAAAAGTCACAACAGGCAGGGGTGGCACTAAAGGGGGCGGGGGGAAACACCCCCAGTCGTCAGGTAGTCGGCAAATGATCTAATACCAGTTGGATAGGAAGGAAAGGAACTAAAATATTTGAGTGACGCTGATTAAAAACTAATAATTGTACCTAAAATTTAGAGAAATGTACGAAATAATTACGGAAAATTATAGGCATAACATGCGAGGAAAAGACTCTCATTGAGACTTTGCCCCGTAGTTGCAATTTCTTAAAAAATATGCCTTGATAAGGGAGTGGTCATTATTTATGTGGAGGGGGGTTGGTAAATGGGAGGGGGGAAGGCAAACGAAGTTTTACCCTTATAAATAGGGGGCGGGGTCAAAAAAGTTTTAACGCAGAGAAATAGAGGGGGTCAAAAAAGTTTTAACGAAGACAAGGGGGAGGGGGGTCAAAAAAGTTTTTGAACTTAAATACCATGTCCAGAGTTCTGATTTCTATAATCACAAATAACAAAAAAGAAGACTCTGAAAATGCGGTTTCCAACGATCTAGAGGCTCTAAATTTTCAAAATTTCACTGCTCGACGCCAACCATGGTAGCGCCGCGTGGGAGTGGGGCCCACTAAAGTTAACAAGCTTCTTACCTCCTGAGCGACCCAGTTGTGGTATTTACATGATAAAAATAACATGCAAGTACACTTAACTGATCAGATTCGGTCTATCAAAGCACAATGTAACGCTGTATATCCAAAAATCTATTTCACAGAATGCTCACATTTCAGTCCTAGGGGTTGAAAAATACAAAAACATTTCTGGGGGGAAATACCCTCAGACCTCTCTACTAGTACATGTGTCATCACTCCACACTTGATCAGTATAGTATGGTCCCTTTTTGTAGATGCCCACCCCCCAGACAAGTTCTTAAAAAAGCCCTGTCTTCAAATCATTTCGCTGTATGAAGACAGGCCATGGGTTAGGGTTATGGTCGGACAAATGTTGCATTGCAAAGTAGTAACACATAACAGGGTTCGAATGGACCATTCCCCAATTAACCAAAATTTTGATCTCAACAAGTCTAGACAAAATTCCACCATAGCATGAAAGAGCATCACAAAATTAGTAATATTCCAAAGTTGCGTTGCAAAATGTTGTAAAATGCGGATAATATAGCCTTGCGAAGTTTGTAATTTTCAGTCATTTTGTATTACGCACAGAAGTGGTAACCATTTCCCGTTTGTAATCTAAAATGACTGAAAATTGCAAACTTCGCAAGGCTATATTATCAGCATTTTACAACATTTTGCAACGAAACTTTGGAATGTTACTAATTTTGTGATGCTCTTTCAAGCTGTGATGAAATTTTTGTCTAGACTTGTTGAGTTCAAAATTTTGGTGAATTGAGGATTGGCCCATTAATTGAGAAAAAATGATGTGCAACTTTTTTTAAAAAAATGTGGCTCTAAATGTATATAAAATAGGTTCATGATTGTCTTCGCTACTCAGTTAAACAAATACTCAAACAAATTGCAATAATTTAATGATTTCAAAACTTTTTAAACATTTTTTGCAATGTTATGTGTTTGTCTGTCATGGTGGCTAAAATTTGACACCTTCCAGTCTGCAAACATGCTGCCAGTGTGCATGCAAAAGCACTTGTTTATAAATTATAAGACAACAGATTGGCTTTGTTTAAATCTATAAATATGGATGGTGTTCATTATGACATTAAGAAAAGTGATGTGTAGTTTTCACAATTTGGTCCAAAACGATGTACAAATTGCACATTGGACACTGTTAATTCGAACCCTGTCACTGATTACCCTCCTGGGAAATTGACGTTCCCAAATTGACGTTTTCAATGTAATACTGAACGACTTCATTCGCCATCCCTCCCGGACTGATTGACAAATGCTCCATCTTCTGAATCCCCAAAGAAGTCAGAGTTATCCATGGCGTTCGCCTGGGTTCCACCATATCCCCCACCGTAGCCGGTACTCGCTGCCGCCGAACCGATATTACCGAAGCTGTTGGTCGCCTCACCACTGCCCCCGGTGTTAAAAGCAATAGCACCCGGTACGGCGTTGAATCCTGTAGCCGCCGCGTTGCTGTCAAAGTTATTTCCAGAACCTGAAAAAGAGAAGAGATAAACGGTTATGGAAAATTTTGTAAAATGTGATTGGCCGGAAAAAATTTTGAAGTTGAAAATTTTAAACTTTTTTTTGGACTCTGTCCGTGGAAATTTTGCTTCAGTGGAAATGTGCCTTAATAAACAATGTGAAAAGTCACTTTTCAAAGTTGTAACTGTAAATTCACCATTATACAAACAACTGCAGTGATAAAATGTGGTATTTTGCAGTGCCTGCACTCGCAGACTTGGAAGACACAGTGCCCAAAATGGCGGATAAACCGAGCGTGAAAATTGAAAAAGGCTTCGCAAGAACAAATTCGCCTAGTGGAAGGCCGGCTGAAGATTACTACAGATGTATTATGTAAATATCTCAATTGGAACCAATTCAATTAACTATTTCTTACTGAGATTTTCTATATTGCCATCTCTGGTAGTTGTTTACACTCCACGTGAATTTATTAATAAAACTTTGCCAGTGAAAAACCACATAAAGTCAAAACACTACAGTTCACATAATAAAGGTTTATCTTTATAATTATATCTCCTTGTATTTTTCAGATAGTTGTATCAATCCAAAGCTTTCTTATTATTGCCACTACCTACACTGGTACAGACCCTTCAAAATTATCTCTTTATCCCCGAGCCGGCGGCGCGAAGCGCCGTGCGAGGGTACTAATTCCGCACGGCTAATTATACCCGGGTATGTGAAAACATAGCGGAGTTCAAAGTTATCCTCCATTTTGTTTATGTCATGGACGGTTTTCGACGTTATGCGCATGCGCGAGTACAAAATCTGCCGAAGTAAATTGCTGTTCATTTTGAATGGACGTATTTTGCTGTTTTACAAGCAATGTTTTGTTTTACATTTCGTTAAAAAGTTTAAGAAAGTACAACACTTTTTTTTCCTCGATTTTAACTGGAAATATAAGCCTGCAGTTTCATGAATTAGTGGCTGTTCAACCGTGAAACAAAGTTTGTATAATAATTGTTTTAATGTTTTGATGTTGATATCTTTGATAATTTAATCGTTGTTGTGCCGGTTTGGGTAAGTGTAAACATTTCAGTAGTAAAATGCCATGCCGTACTTGCTTTGTGTTGTCGGTTTCATTCATATCTGCGAAGTTTTTAAGCCATTCTTAACTCGATAATTCACTTTAATTGAAGCTGGTATGCATGAAATTGCAGTCAATGTTATCGTTCATTATAAAGCTAGCGCATCACGGCATCAGTTATGTTTTTGTGTTTGTTGCTGCCGAAGGCAGCACACTATTCTTAACATGAAGTATTGCGTGCCTGCGTTTACTTGTGCCCAGTCTCTTTGGCCGAGTTATGTACAGTCGATCGAGATTTCGATTTGTGTCTTCAGTGTCTGTCTGTCTGTCTGTCTGTCTGTCTGTCTGTCTGTCTGTCTGTCTGTCTGTCTGTCTGTCTGTCTGTGTCTGTCTGTCTGTCTGTCTGTATGTAAAGATGTCGTAATTCCGGGGAACTACGGAACTAATTCCGCTACCTCCAAACCCTCCTGAATCATCTCTACCGCTTCGCATGCCATCATATCCTCCTCGGCCACCTCCTCGATATCTGAAATAAAACAAGACGCCTAGGCGGTCAGGCGTTCACACTGATCTGCTTGAAAATGAGGACATACGCGCTATGGTGTAATAGACAAGGGAGTGGGGAGCAAGAGAGTTCGTAGAAAAGTAGGGCCGTAGCTAGACACACGAATTGGGGGGGGGGGGTGTATATTCATATATTCATGTTCACATACCATAAAGACAATCGATTTCAAAAGAAATCCGTCGGGCAGAACACGAATATATGAATATACACCCCCCTCCCAATTAGCGTTCTAGCTACGGCCCTGCAGAACAGTTTGACATAAATTCGCTGGGTCCAAATTCTGCGGTTTTCGAGTCGTTACACAAAGAAAAACACATTAATTCAACACGCAAGAAAGTCCAGAGTGTGACACAACGTAAATCCATAGGAAATTGGCACAATTCTTTAAAAATTCAACGAAACTGTGTGAATTATATTCAGTGACAAGCCGCCATTTTGAAACTGAACTGAATATGTCACTGGAGCTCTATCCTTGGAGTTCGCAATTGTGCGCGTGTGTACAAGTGTATGGGCTAATAAAGAAAGATGTACCACAAGCATGGCATGAACCGGCTGCTAGGTACATAAATACGAGCTTGTTACTATAAAAATTAAATCAAGCAGTCGGGGAATAGCCCGCGTGCAGGCCCAAGGGAACTGATAGTGGGCCTGCAAGCAAGGGCCGGTATTTTATAAAACGCCCCTTTTCATAAAACGCCCCTTTTCATAACACGCCCCATTCGCGCGTCAATTGTCAAAAAAGAACCAATGACAGCACCCAAATATTAACAAACAAACTCGCATTAAAATGTTGCGGGGTTTTCTCTGCTTATTCAGAATATAAACGATGTCTAAATGGCTTGCGTTTTAACTCCAAAAAAGCAAGCAACGCCGTCAGTAATTGACAAATTTGCCGGTACTCATTTTCAACTAAAATCGGAACAGGCAAATTAAGACGAATTTCAACAGAAAACCAGTCTCAAACTTCAATTCGTGAGGGAAGTCGTGCGACCACATCAGCATTTATATTATGTGTGCTTCGCTGTCGCCATTGTTATAAATAAATTGTCTCACTTATCAGATCGTGTGTGCAATTCTTGTTGGCGGCGGAAAGCACGAAATTCATTTTAGTTATTTCATTTGGTAAATAACTCTACAAAAGAAGAGAGCGTTCAGAGTCCAGATCGTTTCGTTTCAAACGGCAATTTAATACCTGTTTCGTTTCGCTCTCTCAGCGAAGCCTTGTAAATCGCAAAGTGTTTTGAATAGGCTTACATGCAACTGAATCTCAACATCAACCAAAATATCATTTTCTTGGGGAACATATAACGTATCAAGTCTGTTTGAAATTAATGAAACTCAAGTGTATTAAAGGCTCTGTGGTATACTAGAGTTTACCCCAGTCGTAATGTTGCTATTCCAACACCTTACGACAAGCAATCCCCATTGGCATAACGGCAAAAACATCTCTT